CAGCCCCAGCTTCTCTGGGCAACCTGTGCCAGGGCCCCACCACCCTCCCAGCCAAGAATTCCTTCCCAATATCCAATCCAAACCTACTCTCTTTCAATTTGGAGCCATTCTCTCTTGTCCTGTCACTCCATGCTCTTGTGAATAGTCTCTCTATCTATTTAAAATGATAGTTTCAAGTACAAAGATGTCCATACAAACTTTTAGTCACTGGCATTGAAAAATTTTACCACTTTTGGAAAAGTCAGGAATGTACCAGGCTGCCAACTTTTTAAATGGCATAAATGTCTTCTGCTGACACTGCAAACTTCAGTATTTAACAAAACAAATTGTCAACAAACACATTTATCTCAGTCAATCCGTTATACTACAATGACACCTGAGTGCCTCTGCTGCCAGTAACTCTGTCTTTGTCTAAATAACATCCTGAGTGCCAGATAAACTTGCCTAAGAAAAAGAAATTGTTTACTCACATGGCTGTTTTTCAACGGCATCGATGACATTTTCAATTGCATCGTCAAGTTCTACTTCACTGATGGACTGAAAAGCTTCAGTGAGATACTTCAGAGCATCCCTAATTCCAGTGGAGAAAGAACAAAAAGCAATAATTATTCCAGAGTTTATACAAGCTGTGCTGATTTTGGCAGCTGTGCACATCATCACTACACGGCTTGTGGTTTAAAAAAGTAGAAACAATTAGAACTGGTAATAGTGCACTACTTTAAGTCAAAGAAAACACTCACTGGGATTGAAAACATCGAGGACAAGAAGGGGATATGGAGAATCTCAGCTCCATACATTTAAGCCCATGTTGGAAGTGACCTCTGGAGACCATCTGGTCCAAGCTCCTACTCAAAGCAGGGCCTCATTGAGCCAAGCCTCGAGTATCTCCAGTGAGCTATTCCCCTTTGTCCTGCCCCTCCATCCCTTGTCCAAAGTCCTTCTCCAGCTCTCCTGGAGCCCCTTTAGGCACTGGAAGGGGCTCTCAGGTCTCCCTGGAGCCTTCCCTTCTCCAGGTGAACCCCCCCAGCTCTCCCAGCCTGGTTCCAGAGCAGAGGGCAGCAGCCCTTGGAGCATCTCCATGGCTTCCTCTGGACTTGCTCCAGCAGCTCCACATCCTTCTGATGCTGGAAGCCCCATACCTGGATGCAGCACAGCTCTTCCTACTTCCCTTACACACCACAGCTTCCAACCCATGACCACCTTCACAGACCCTGCAGGACCCTCTCCAGTTTATCAGTATCTCCGGGATTGGAATTATTTTAATTCTACATAACACAGGAATTAGAAATCTGTTTCTTCCCTTATCCTTAGACTACAGTCTTGCAGTTAAAGATGACAATTTTCTTATCGATGTCATCTGCTGGCCAACCAACGTGGTGTTTTGGTTATCAGCCTGATCTTCAAAATGTCTCAGTTCATGGAACCCTGGAGTCAGGAGTTCTGGACTTGGACTCCTTGCTAATGAAAGTGCCAGGACACTGTCCAAAATAATCACATCCCACCCACAACAGAAACGAAACGGAACTAATATTAACACATGAAACAGAAAGGGAAAACAGGAGCAATGGAGCCCCTGGCTGTCCTATAAATCATGACACCTTCCACTGCAAGCAGGAACCACTTTTAATTGACTTGCCATCTCTAAAAAATACACATTATAATATCTGGAAATATAGCATTCCTGCCTTTGGAAATGCCATTTTCTCCTTTGGAAATACCATTTCTGTCTTTAGGAATGCCATTTCCTCATTTGGAAGTACTATTCCTTTTTCTAGCAGGGAATGCTGAACACAGGACTGGCAAGTGCAACTTGGGAAAGAGATCCCGGAGTTGTCAGGCAGAGTATCAGACAACACAACCCAACCAAACACCCAGCACCGGCATCAGGGAGGGCTCCGAGGGGGAACACGGGCAGGTCTTTGGTGGTACCCACGGCGGGGGCCGCAGTGGGTCGGGTCATGGGTGGGAGGCAGGGACAGAGGCACGGAAGAGGCCCACAGCAGCAGGAAAGGCAAAACGACAGGGCTTTGGAGGAGATTCCAGAGGGGAGATGAAGAGGGGGGAAAGGCATCATCACGCCCCGAGGAGGGGATGCGGGGGGTGCGGAGCTGCCCCGACCCCATCCCACGACCCCGGCCCCCGGGCCTGAGCCCCGCCGGGGGATGATCCCGGCGGGCGGAGCGGGCCCGGAGCGGTCCCCGGGGCTGCCCCCGCTGCCCGCGGGTACTCACGGCCGCAGCAGGAGCCCCCGCAGGCGGAACGCGGAGCTGAGGCGGCGCCGCAGCCGCTCCGGCTCCATGGCGGACTTGGCGCCAAACGCGCCGGGGCCGCCCCCGCCGCCCTGGCCCGGCCCCGCCGGGAGGAGCCCCGGGACGGCCCCGCTGGGCCGCGGGGAGAGCGACCCTCGGGTGTGTCAGCGGCGGTGTGGGCACAGCACCAAGGGACCGAGCCCTGTGCTGGGCAGGGCTGAGGCACCTCCAGTGCCGTGTCCAGTTCTGGGCCCCTCAGGACGAGAGAGGCACTGAGGGGCTGGAGCGTGTGCAGGGAAGGGAATGGAGCCTGGGAAGGGGCTGGAGCAGCAGGAGCGGCTGAGGGAGCTGGGGGGGCTCAGCCTGGAGAAAAGGAGGCTCAGGGGGGACCTTCTGGCTCTGCAACCCCCTGACAGGAGGGGGGAGCTGAGGGGGGGTCGGGCTCTGCTCCCAGGGAACAAGGGACAGGAGGAGAGGGAACGGCCTCAACTTGTGCCGGTAGATTGGATACTGGGGAAAATTTCCTCACGGAAAGGGTTGTCCAGCCCTGGCACAGCTGCCCAGGGCAGTGGTGGAGTCCCCATCCCTGGAGGGATTTAAAAGCCACGTGGATGTGGCACTTGGAGACATGGGTCAGTGGTGGCCTTGACAGTGCTGCAGGAACGACTTGATGATCTTAGGCAGTTTTTTCAACCTAAAGTGATCCATTTTTCCGTGAAACACACTTGCTGCAGCTGACACAAGTTACTGAATGCAATTACCCTCAGTATTATTATTTGTTGCCTTACAGGTGAAGTAGCTCACACCACTGCTGCCCCCTCCTCTTTCCCTGAAGGCCCAGCACAGGTTGCACTGCACCTCCAGTAGTCCAGATTCACCTGTCTAGTCTCTCCAGCCCCAGATTTACCTGCCCAAAACATCCATCAAATACATCCAGCTGTGAATTGTACTCCTGGGATGGTGCCTTGTTTTCTCCTGTTCTCACCTTTAATCAGACACTGGCCAGAGACCCCTTCCACTGGGTCTGTCTTGGCTGACAAGCACAGGATGGTCTCCAGGGCTGTTTTTACATGTAATCATGGATTAAAACGGTCTGGGTTGGAAGGGACCTTAAAGCCCATCCCATTCCACCCCCTGCCAGGGGCAGGGACACCTTCCACTAGCCCAGGTTGCTCCAAGCCCCATCCAGCCTGGCCTTGGACACTTCCAGGGATCCAGGGCAGCCACAGTTCCAGTCTTGTAGGGCAGCTGCTTTTTCCCCAGATGAAAAACACATGTTTCAGTCAAACACTCATCCCTATCTCTCAAAGTAAGTACAGTTTGATCTCACAGAAGGCTCACAAAGCAACTCTGAAAGAAAGTTCCTTGTTCAAAAGTCTGCAGGGATTTAAAGACAGCTATTTTCCGTAGTCCATTCTCAACTGCATAATTTATAACCACTCTTCCTCATCAGGGATCGAGCTCATAGGTGAAAATGCAGCTACTCTCTTCAGACAAAAAGCTGCCATCTGACAGGTCTCAGCTATTTTGGTAGGAAATATGATCTATTTTTCATCACAGGCACACAGATGGGTGCAAATTACGAACCCAATCCTTACATAAGTACTTCCATTTGCTAAAATTACTGCTTATTCTCCTTCTAAGAAAACCTGATTGTGCCGTTCAGCTCATGTCTCGCCTCAAGAAGGAAGGTGCACCTGGAGAAGGGATGTGCCTCTCACCCAGGAATAGTTTTCTTTAAAGCTCTGACCAAGGGGGGAATATAAAGCACACTCCTACAGCATCCTGCTGTATTTGGGATTCTCTTGGGTTGCCTAGAGCCTCCCACCAGAGATGTAAAAGTATTCCAGCGTGAGCTGCAGGCTTATGTTTCACTGAGCCATCTGTCTGGAGGTCTGGAAGCCATTCCCAGCTCCTTGTCTCTGTCACCTGCCATGGCTTTGTTGGACATCACAGGTCCTGGAGAGCAGCAACCCAGTGGAGAGATCCCAATGGTCCACAATCAGTCAGCATATCTGCCTGGATCCATAGAATTATTTTGCAACACCAAACAAGACAAACAGCTCATTTTCATGTCTGTCACTGCTTGCAAAACCTCTGTGCACATCTCCTGAGACAGCACATTGTAGCTCTACCTGACCTATTGATCCGTGGATAAGTTTCCCTGTTACCCACGTTTTTCTTAACTCCAAATGCTGACTCCTGCATTTTAACCACCATCCCAATGCACTATCAGTACATGGCTTCATTTTAAAAGTTTGGGACAGGCACTGATCTCTCTATCACCAGTGACAGGACCTGAGGGAAGGGCTGGAACTGTGTCAGGGGAGTTTTAGGTTGGATCTCAGGAAAAGGTTCTTCCCCCAGAGGGTGGTTGGCACTGCCCAGGCTCCCCAGGGCAGTGGGCACGGCACCAAGGCTGCCAGAGCTCCAGGAGGGTTTGGATGATCCTCTGGGGCACAGGGGGGGACTCTTGGGGATGGTCCTGTGTAGGGCTGAGGGTTGGATTCAATGATCTTTGTGGGTCCCTTCCAACTCAGGACGTTTTATGATTCTGTGATTAATATTATCAGTTTAGTCTTCCCTCCTAGATCCAACTGAGGAAGTATATACCCCACTTCCACAAGAAAATCTTTACAATAATGTTTTGGTGCCCTTTTACAAGATGCTAAAGAAGTAATTTCTCGCAAGCTCGACTCTACTCCTCTTTCTGAAGCACTGTACCTGTTTTATTTTGGATTCCATTAATTCCACAGTTCAGCGGGAATTCACTGGGTTGTGGATGTAACAGCGTTAAGAACTGGATGGGCAGCGTCTGAAGTACTGTACAACTGTTTCATTAATAACAGCTACTATTTCATAGGTGCTATTTCCAACAAGAGTGTCACACCTTCAGAGAGACAGGGAGTTCTGCTGTGGTTGTCTTATTACAGAATCCTGGAATGGTTTGGGTTGGAAGGGATGTAAAAACTCATCCCATTCCACCCTCTCCCACTATCCCAAGTCGCTCCAAGCCCCGAACAACCTGCCCTTGGACACTTCCAGGGATCCAGGGGCAGCCACAACTTCCCTGGGCAACCTGTGCCAGGGCCTCCCCACCCTTACAGCCAAAAACTCCTTCCCAGTATTCCATCTAACCCTACTCTCTGTCGGTGCGAAGCCATCCCCTGTCCTGACTCACGCTGAGATCCAGCTCTTCTTTCCCTTCTTACTCCGGGTTTATGTTTAGCCCTCCTATTCTCGCTGCCTTTTTCCTCCTCTCGTGGTCTTTACTCACATCCTCCCGGAGGCCTTATTAAGCCCTAGCCCTCACACGGTCCCCGATGCTCAGGGCAGGGGCAGCGCCGCGCTCGCCGCCCGCCCCGCTCCGGACCCGCGGCGGGGCTGAGCGGCGGGTGCCGCCCCACACTTTGGACCCTCCTCGCTTCCCGTCCGCCTGAGGGGAGCGACCGGCGCCGGAGCCGCAGCCTCTCCCGGAGGAGGCGGTGGCGGGACGCGAGCCGTGAGGCAGCCGAGCCGTGAGGCAGCCGGGCCGCTTCCTCCCCTTCCTTCTCCTCCTCCTCGTCCTCGTCCTCCTCCTCCTCCTCGCCCTCCTCCCCTAAGATGGCGGCGGACCCCGCGGAGCAGTTCTGCGTGGCCGAGGAGCGCAGCGGCCACTGCGCCGTGGTGGACGGGAACTTTCTCTACGTGTGGGGGGGATACGTGGTAAGGCGTGCGGGGGGGGCGCGGGCAGCGAGGGCCGGGCGGGGGGAGCGGGAGCGGGGCAGCGGCGCCGGGAGCGGGGGAGCGGCGCCAGGAGCGGGGCAGCGGCTCCGGGAGCCCCGGGCGGGGCAGGGGATGAGGGGGGGGTCCCCCCGCCGCCCCTCAGCGCTCGGCGGGCGCTGATTGGCCGCGGCGGCCGCGCGGCGTTCGAGTGGCGGCGGGAGGCGCTGAGGGGACGGGCGGGAGGCGCTGAGGGGACGGGCGGGAGGCGCTGAGGGGACGGGCGGGAGGCGCGGGGGCTGCTCGGGGCGTCCCGTCCCTCTGCTCCGCGCGTCCCCTTTTCCCCGCGCCCGCTGTCCATGGGCAGCGTCCTCCTTCCCCCGCCTTCAGCCGCCCCCGTCACCCGCCACGTGCGGGGAAGGGCCGGTGGAGCCGGTTTGCCTCCCCTCCCGTCGCTCTGAGGGTGACTCCCGTGTCCCTCAGGGGGGTGACGGCTGTAATTTGTGGCGGTTTTTTTGTGTGTAATCCGCGTTCTTGTTCCCGAGTCCCCGCAATGTGTTTGTTTATTCGTAGTTGTGTTATGTACGCAGCGTGGTTTCCTCCCTCAGAAAGCACCGCTGGTCACCTCGAGCTGGTGGCCGGCAAAAAACCCCACATCTTTTATTTATTTTTCGTTGGAAGATCAGTTCTGGTTCTGACATAAGTAAATCCTTATCTTTTAGCTCCATGAATTCACCCTAACAGGAGCTGTGAATTAAATACATTAAATACATTAAATACAGCCACTTCATTTTATCTACAGTGTCTGTGCACATTGGCCATAAAATGTGAAAATACCTGTGCTTTGTGTTATTGTCTTGGTCAGGTGGAAACTGTATTTCTATCAACATATTTAATATTCTACCTATATTTTTCGTGGGCAACTTTCAAATGTGCAGAGCTTGTCTTGCCATACTCAAGCCAAGAATTCTAGCTGGGAGCTCCTGGATTTAAACTCTGTAATACTCTGAATAACTATATATCACTTAAATTACTGGTCATCCTTGTTAGTTTTCTGTGCTCTGGTCTTTAAAACTGAGGGTGGACTGGTGAGCACAATGTTTTCAAAGGTTTTCTTGTGAAAAATTGTGGGTTTGTGGCACATTTGAAACAGACAACGTGTGTTAAGTTTAGCAGATAAAATTTGCAAATGTTTTTAGTAATATTGCATATATTTTGTTGAGAATATTATGAAAATCCTTGCTCTTTAAGCAGCACTTTACACAGCTAAATCATTTTTAACGTGTTGTTGGTGCACTGCTGCCCAGCAAACTTATTTTTGGCATCAGTGCATTTGCTCAGAGCTGGTTCTGGAGCAAATGCTCGACCTCTGACATACCCAGATTAAATTGAGTCAACTTTGCAGAAGCTGCCAGGAGTGTGGAACAGCAGAGCCTTCCCAAGGAAAGGCAACTGGCAGGGTAAACATGCCAAAAATAGGATGTACCTGCCTGGTTGGCACCTTTCAAACTCAGAAAGTCATAATAAAGTGTCATTTGAAGGCAAGTGATCGATATCAGTAACCAAATGGCTGAGAATTAAATTTCAGTTTTGTATGTAACTTCTTCACATTCCTTTAATTTTGATCCAATTTTGATTTATTTGTTTATTTACTGGCTCTGGCTGCTTATTCCCTCCCAGTCTTTAATGTCTTTCTGATGTCAAGGCAATAATTAATGGTGTAGTTGTTACTCAGCATGAGCACTGAATGCTTTTGGGCTTCCTTCTCCTGTTTGTTGTTCTTCCTCATCATTCTTTCCTAAGTTGTTTTTTCTTTGTTAATGACCTCTGTTGAGGAGTCTTTGTTTTTGTACACAGAGAAATTAATTTTCTCCTTTATATTTGAGATTTTGTCCTTTCAAGTTCCTTCTTTCAGCCACTGCAAGTAACTTTTGTTGCCTTTCAGTTCCACTTTTTATATTCTATTTTTTATTCTGCACTTCTCCGTTATGCCAAGATTTGCCTCCTAATTAAAAGTATCTCCCAAAACAAAAGATAATGAGTTTTAATTCAGGACCTCCAAATCTGGTTTGTGTTGTCACACATCTTTTCTGGCAAAACATTGAGTTGGTCAATCTGTGCCTTTAATAAGTGGTCGTGAGGAATTGAGTTCTTTATTTTTAAAATAAATTAGTTTTAAAATTGGGATGATCAGAGCATTAATGACTTATGCTCTGGTAGATTATTTCCTTAAGATTACTCTGTGTTGCTAAGTAACATGATTTAGCATTTCATCTTAAAATGTATGTTGTGTAAGGCATAATTGATTTAACATTTGCCCATTTCTCTTCCATTTCAGTCCATCGAAGAGAATGAAGTTTATCTGCCTAATGATGAGCTCTGGATCTATGAAATGGACAGTGGGTTATGGCAAGTTCCATAATTTATATTTAATGAATATAGAAAGTTGATCTTTGCATAGATGACAGTTAGCTGCAGTGAAAAGGCTTCGGTGACATGAGTTATTGGCCATGTTCCCTGAGTTTAAATAGCAGATGTTTAATGTAAAGACTGAAGAACAGGCCTATATGCTTGCAAATTAACTCCAGGAAACACATTCATTCCTAAAGTCTAATTATTATGTTCAAGGGAATGTTTGGAATGGTTGGCTGAAGGCTCTGTTGAAACAGGTGCATTTGTTTGGGAGTTTATTTTGGCTCAGTTCTTCATACACAAACTTCTGTGTTGGAATGAACAGTTGAACACTGGATAATTGGGTTCTTAATCTATTTACACTTATATATATTTTTTGTCATTACTTCGTTGCACAATACGATGCAACTCAGAAATAACTCAGAACTTCCCCTTTTTTCTCTTCTCCCCTTTTTTCTCTTCTCCCCTTTTTTCTTTTGCCCCCTTCTTGCTCCCTTTCCTCCTTCGCTCTTTTTTTTCCCCTTCCTCCCTTTTTTTTCCCTCCCCCCCCTTTTTTGCTTCGTTTTTCCCCTTTTTTCCCTGAAATCCTTGGCTCCCTGTGCTAAAGCCCCCTCACACTGCCTTGTTTTCCCTGTGATGTCCCAGCACAGCTGTTTGTGCTCACACGGGAACTTGGATCAGGGAAACGCTCCGGGTTAAATATAACTTTTATTTTTTCAGGGTTATATTTATAACCAGGATCTCCCTGAGCTCCCAGCACACACCGCTGTCCATGTGCAGCTGAGAGTGCAGGGCCCAGGAACAGCAGGAATGAGGGAGCAGGAATGGAGAAGTGTTTCTGCTTCTGCCTCAGTTTTCAGTTTGAAAAATAACAGCAGTGCCACGTGCTCATTTCAGGAGGTTTTGGACTTAACAGTACTTCCCTATTTTGAATAATCAGTGTTGCAGCTCTGTTAAAGCTCTTTCAATATGAATTTCACCTTCCTAAAAATGAACACACACAGTATTCACCTGGAAGTTCTCCTGCACCACAGGAGCCTGACTTCATCAGCCAGTTCCTAGTGCTGGTCATGACCCAAGCTGTATTTTTAGCTTGAAGTCCAAATATTATTAATAAATCTGGGTTGGGAATTGTTAAGTTTTAGTGGCTTTGCGAGGTCTTAATGTGTTTTTTTTTAAATTGCAGGACAATGCACCTGATGGAAGGGGAGCTGCCCACTTCCATGTCAGGGAGCTGTGGGGCCAGCATCAATGGGAAGCTGTACATTTTTGGGGGATTTGATGATAAAGGATACAGTAATCGGGTATTGTATTCATTTTTCCCTGTAACACTGTATTTGAGTGAGTAATAATGCTGACCTTGCTGTTTCTGTGGGTTACTTTGCATTTGATTCAAGGAGAAATTTGAGGGAAAACTTCATTTTTGCAAAACTTTCTGTACTCATTTCTGAGAACTGCCTGTGCCTTCCCAATTGCTTTTTTTTAAAAAAAAATATTTTGACAACCATAAATGAGACTAATCTCAGAATATCACTCTTATTTTTGCTCTCTGACAGCGATTACCTTACATAATCAGGTAGTAATTAAAGTTAAAACAGAGCTACCAGTTGTCCTTGTAACTGAAGACTGAATTAGCAGAGTAGAATGAAATTGGTTGTTTTATCATTTAATGAGAATGAAGTCAGAGTTCACTCCTGACTAGAAAAGAAGTAAAATGGAGCCTCTCATCAGGCAGGAAAACTTGTTGCCAATTCTTACATTTTAGCTGTGTTTTTGTGATGTATTTGCCTCTTCCTGAGTGTTGCTACATATTGTAAACTCCACTGCCAGTTCCTTTTTTTTTTTTTTTAATCCAAACTAGTGTATTTTGGGGGAGGTGGGTTGTTCTTTCTGTTGGTATCCTTTATACTGAAAACATTGTACATTTTTTTTTCCTTTTAAGCTCTATTATGTTAACTTGAGAACGAAAACCGGAACCTACAGGTGGAAAAAAATCACAAATTTTAAAGGTCAACCTCCTACCCCACGTGACAAACTTTCCTGCTGGGTCTATAAGGACAGGTAACACCTTAAGAATATTTAATGTGTGTTAATTGCAGAGAGGAAGGGCTATAAAGTGAAGAGCACACAGGTTTGGGATGCAGGAAACTCTCATTCTTAGCTTGACTTGCTGTGGGATTTTGTGTAACAACTTGCTGCCAGAGTTTTCTCACACATGAGAATTAATGGTAAGTAAAACCCCGCTTTAGGAGA